GATGCATGTTTCTGAGCACGTTTAAGGTCCGTCGATTGATGCCAAAATCACTAGTTTGTGATTGAGGCAGACCGCAGAGTTAATTGAGTGATTGTTTTGTTTTTGAAATTGAGTTAATTGAATGATTGATGAGTGGATTCTATTGGTCCCTACACTTTTGAGAATGTTCTATAACTTCAATGCTCTGTAATTTCCAATGCATCCACTGGGTGCAGTTATATATAAACATGCGTTTGCTCATGAAAAAAAATGCAGGATGATGTTGCTGACAGCGCTATCGAAGAAAATTGTACAGACAGAAATGAGGAAGCTTATGTTCACGAGGCCTTTTTGGCAGATTGGAGGCCTGCCATATCCAGCATCCAAGTGAATCATTCTATGTCAAACCCGGCAGAGAAAATTCCTCCACTCCAGCTATTGGGTGTGGAGAGTTCTCAAGTTGCTGAAAAGATGAATAACAATGGTTCTAGAAATTGGCAATCCCAAATCTCTAATGAGTTCCCTGTTTCTCTGAGGTACTCATTGCATCTTTGTACTCTTTTTTTCGCTTCTTTGTTCATGTTTATTTTGAGGTTGCAGACATTCTGCATTTCCATTGTGCTGACTCACTATGCTTATCATCTGACTTGAAGGTCGTCAGAAACTGAGTCTTTTTCGCGGGGAAACGGAGCCCGTAAATTTAACAATGGGCAGTTAGTTAAATTAGCGCCAGGTCTGCCTCCTGTTAATCTTCCACCATCTGTTCGAGTAATGTCTCAGTCGGCTTTCAAAAGCTATCATGTTGGAACATATCCGAGGGCTTTTGGTGGGGATGCTTCTACCGGTGATGGTGTGAGAGACAGTGCAGCCCCAAAAACTGCAAATGCTGCAAAGCCATATACTAATTATTTTGTGAAAGATGGATCATTTAGCAGTAGTGCTGGGAGGAACAATATAAGTAATCAGAATCTACAGGAAACCAGATTGTCGAAGGATAATAAGAATGTTACAGACGAAAAGGATGAGTCAGGTCTAAGGATGCATCCCTTACTCTTCCGGGCCCCTGAAGATGGCCCTTTGCCATATAATCAGTCTAACTCTAGTTTTAGTACATCCAGTTCGTTCAATTTCTTTTCAGGTTGTCAACCTAATCTTAGCCTCTTTCATCATCCACGCCAATCAGCCCATACTGTTAACTTTCTTGACAAGTCTTCTAATCCCGGGGATAAAACTTCAATATCATCTGGTTTTGACTTCCATCCACTTCTGCAAAGAACTGATGATGCAAATTGTGACTTGGAAGTTGCATCTGCTGTTACACGACCCTCTTGTACCTCAGAAACATCAAGAGGATGGTGCACTCAAGTTCAGAATGCTGTTGATAGTAGTTCAAATGTTGCATGTTCTATACCCTCTAGCCCTATGGGAAAAAGCAATGAGGTTGACTTGGAGATGCACTTGAGTTTCACGTCCAGTAAACAGAAAGCTATTGGAAGCAGAGGGGTGGCTGACCGTTTTATGGGAAGGTCACCGACTAGTGCTTCTAGAGATCAAAATCCTCTAAACAATGGAACTCCAAATAGAACCACCCAGCATAGTGATTCAGGTGCCACTGCAAGGATTTTGTCCAGCGATGAAGAAACTGGAAATGGCGTTGATGATTTGGAAGACCAGTCTCTTGTAGAAATTGTGATGGAGCAGGAAGAGCTAAGTGACTCAGAGGAAGAAATAGGAGAAAGTGTAGAGTTTGAGTGTGAGGAGATGGAGGACTCAGAAGGAGAGGAGATATTTGAATCTGAGGAGATAACCAATGATGAAAATGAGGTACCTCTTGAAAATAACTCTCTGCTAAAAAATTCTAGGACTTCCATTAAGGCAGTCCAGTTATTGCTTCCCAAATTAGTTATTCTGTCTATCATGTTTTCTTTGTACTAAAAAATGTCAGGAATTTCCCGGTGTTTCTATTACTAGGTGGTAAAGTGCCAATCTTTCTTATTACTCCACAAACTTGATAATTTTGTTTTTCATCTGTTGGCAAGTAATAATGTTATGTATGTTGTTAGTACTTTAGGAAACATTGTGCACCCAGAAACTACTGCATCAACACTAAGTTACAATCATAAGCTTCATTCTCTATCTTCTCATCAAAAGAAAAGAAAACAAGCATAAACTTCAGAATTTGCAGTCTTACGGTGACTTGTACCAGCTTTCTGCTCACTTTTATTTTGCTCAATAACTTTGTTTTGGCCAGGAGATGGATAAAGTTGCATTGGACGACTCTTATGATCAACATGTACCTAATACACATGGTAATTCAAAAGGAAATTCCTGTAGCATTACTGAAGACCATGCTACTAGGTTTGACAAAGCAACGAATGACCAGCCCAGTTCTCTGTGCTTGAATTCGAATCCACCTAGGCCGGTTTCTCCCCAAGTCAAGCCTAAGTCTAGACATTCCAGTAGTTCTGCTGGCAAACCCCAAGATCCTACTTGTTCCAAGAGGTCTAGAAAGAAAGCAAAGCGGGACAGAGATCACCCTACAGTACAGAAGTCTGCATCTGACATGCCTGAACAGGCGAACCAATCTTCTGTTGCCTCTTCACACAGGAATTCCAGGAAACGTGCACGTAGAACAGTTTCAAGGAAAACAGACACAAGCTTGATTGCTGATACGAATGTGGAAAGTCCGAACAGTACTAAGAAAGATGAAGTAGGTTGATTTTACTCTAATGATGGGAAACAAAACTTGGCTGATTTAACTTTTGTAGCCTCATATGACATATTAGGGCTGGGAGGGTAGTTTGCCCCATTTTTGAAAGTTCTCTTGCTGCTCTGGCAAGGTTCAAGCTCTGCAAGTGCAGCTGTAATATTCTATTCTGGAAAAAAAGAAAATGAATGTAGTATGTATATAACATTAATTGTTAACTTATTGTTGAATTCAACAAATGAAGTTGAATCAAATTCCTCAAAACAAAATCAAAAATATCTTTTCTGATGGGAACAGCTTAATATCACTGAATTAAGTTGACACCAGATGGAGTACATACCAAAGAACACAATGATACAGTGACATGGCATGTTTAACACAGGTTGAGATACAGTGATATATTCCATATTTAGATACAAATATAAATTATACATTACAAACAACTAACTGTATTTCATTCTAAATATAGTGATAAATTGATATAATATTTCATTCTTTATTTAGTCATACATTGGACAAACAAAAAGCTTAGAAACAATGATACACACAAAATTTTAAAGTGAGATTCATTAATAAAGTATGTTAGGTTAACTTGGACAAACAGAAAGCTAGAAACAGTGATTTGGACTGATTCATTCTTTATTTAGAATCATTGATACTATATTTTCAAATGTGGATTTGGACTGATTTTTAACCTTCATGTTGCCATTAGAGTTTGAAAATCGATGAAGAAAAGAGAAACCAAATTACATTTTCTATTTTTGCACTGAAGATATGGATGTTTTACTGGATTTTGTTATTTTAAAAGATTATTGCTTGATTTTCTCCTGAATCACTATGCATGTATTATAGATACATGCTTGACAAATCACCAATACACTGTATCGTGTGTTATTTATTTTATAAAGAGTTATTATATTTAGTAATTATTAGAAGTATGGTTATGTATAGTAATTATGCACCAAACTGCCACTATTTGTGAAAACTCCTTAATTCTCATTTACTCTCCTAGCTTGTCAAGGGCTTCGGGTTGGGATTTGGCTCAAGATATTAATATCTTTGGTATTTGATATTTTTGATTATCGAATTGTTTACCTAATAAAGGTCATATATCAACATCTCTATAATACAAATTCAAAGAGAAAAACTAAAGCCCTAAACATAAACAATCCAAATATATATATGTATCATAAGCGTTGACAAAAGAAATTGTTATTTGATTTTTCTCTTTTCATGATATTTGACTTCTAATTAACGGTACAAAGTGACACATTTACTTTGTACAATGGATAGTATTTCCTTGTTACTATTTACTACTGCATAGCATTATATCTGGTCATAAAAGATTAGGCACATATGCTTCGATAGTAATTTGCATTGATTGTTCATTTGTGTTTGGGGTGCATACATTGATTTCTAACTCCTTAGCATAAATTTCTTTTAGTTGTGTCTTTTTATTTTATTGATTTTTAATTATATCGTGAGCTCGCATCGAAAAGTAGAAATAATAATAGCAATTTTTTACTTGGAAGACAAAGGAGTGTGATAAAGATGAGACCGTATAAAATGAATATTCATCAAATTTACTATTTTCCAATTTGTTCTTTCGTCGATGGGGCCTTAAAACAAAATGAAAAATAGGAAAAATGATTCATTCGCCTTTCTAAGAGGAGTAGGATCTTTGGTTGATCTGTCCTTCCCCCTCCTTTCTTCGTAGATTATTAGCCCCGGGACACCTATACCAAAAGCTCAGTGTGCAATTTGCATGAAATCTATTTTGCAACTTCGGTATTAACTTTAATTTATAATACGAGAATTGTTTTTGTTTTTTTATGCTAAAAACTTTTTAAAAAGTTTTCAAAGAATCGTAATATGTAACAGGTCGAGTTTTCTGTCGGTCATATAGAACACCAACACATAAAAAAAGGACTGAAGATACGTCATGAGTGAGTGATAGAACACATGAAAAAAAAGTGTATAAGGACAAAGACTCCAACTTAAAAACGATATTACCGAATTATTCAAAAGTTCGGTATTTCAATACTACTTTTAACTATCCGTTAGCATGTTATTCTACCGAAAATTTAAAAATTCCGAACCGAATACTAAACGACTACCTTTAATTGTCATATATAGCTTAAAAATCTAAATTAGAGTCAAATCATTTTGATTTCATTAATAATGTCCAGACAGGGATTTAGGTTATAAAATTCTGACATTAAAAAAATGTGTCAGATAAATTCTTCTGTGTCTTTCTCATACTTTTCTCTATAAAAACTACACATAGAACTCATAATTCTCTTCTATATATCCAATGTCGTCGGCCGGAAACTCTGGCAGCGGAGAAATGGCCGAAAATTCACCTCAGAATTACTACTGCTACGGATGTGAGAGCACTGTCAGCTTAACACCATTGCCAAATTCTGAACTCTCATGCCCTAATTGCAATGGTACATTTTTAGAAGAATCCCAAACCGTCCCTCCTCCAGATCCTGTTACCGGCGAAAATCCCTTCGGAGACGACTCATCGTTCACCTTCCCCACCGATTCCGGTAACGGAGGCGGCGATGAACTTCCTGCACTCTTCGATGGTGGCGCCCTTTTCGGCCAATCACCTGTTGAACTAGACCCTGTTACGTTCATCAATAGCTATTTAAGGGATGGTGATGCTACTATTCAATTGCTGGTTGAAAACAATCTTATCCGCGGTGGTGGAAGTGAGAATGGGTTACCGGAGAACTTTGGTGACTATTTTGTGGGGCCGGATCTCGAGCAGCTGATCCATCAACTTGCTGAGAGTGACTTGAACATGTTTGGTACACCACCTGCTGCAAAATCGGCTGTTTCGGGCCTTCCTGATGTTAAGGTGAGTGATGAGCTGTTGAATTCGGATTTATCCCAATGTGCTGTTTGTAAAGATGGTTTTAAGCTGGATGAATTGGTGAAGCAAATGCCTTGCAAGCATATGTACCATGACGGCTGTTTATTACCTTGGTTAGAAATGCGTAATTCGTGCCCTGTATGTCGGTTTGAGTTGCCAACTGATGATTCTGATTATGAGAATATGAGAAGTAACAATGACAACAATGGTGGTTTGTTTTCTCTGGGTTCAGAAGGTGGAGGAAATCAGGGGAATGCTAGAACAGTGGATAGCAATGGTGGTTTGTTTTCTCTGGGTTCAGAAGGTGGAGAAAATCAGGGGAATGCTAGAACAGTGGAGAGCAATGCTGGTCTGTTTTCTCTGGGTTCAGAAGGTGGAGGAAATCAGGGGAATCGTAGAACAGTGGAGAGCTATGCTGGTTTGTTTTCTCTGGGTGCAGAAGGTGGAGGAAATCAGGGTAATCCTAGAACAGTGGAGAGAAGGGTTAGGATTTCATTACCAGGGCTGTTAAGGGGGCTGCAATCGCATGCTGAGACGAGCAACAGTACTGGAGGTGGGGGAAGCAATGATGGAGTGAATAATGATGGTAACAGTAGTGGTAGCGGTGATACTCATGGGGAGCCGAATCCATGTCCGCGAGGACAAGGACAAGCAAACCAAGAGGATCTTGATTAAAGTATGTACCATAGTTCTGAATTTTTTCCAAATCTGCTATATTTGTAGATGTTTAATTAGGTGTTTGGTATAATCCTGTCAGAGAATTAAAAGTCATGTATACTTGAGAGTTGAGATTGCAGGGAATTTTGAGGATAGTTTTGCGCCTTGTTTGAGTTTCCAATTATTTGCTTTTTATAAGGTGAAGAGAGGAGCATCTAGAACTCACCCTTTGGGGGTGGCCCAATGGTTTGGACTTGGGACTTCCATGTTGGAGGTCTCAAGTTCGAAACCCCTTGCCAACAAAAGTAAGGGGTTTGCCTTCTGGGTCGAGTCGCACAGGCTTGCCTAGTGCAGGTTACCTCTTTTGTGTGGTTGCCAGCGAAAGTAAGAGGTTTGCCTTTTGGGTCGAGCTGGTCGCACGGGCTTGCCTAGTGCGGGTTACCTTTTCAGTGTAGTTTGTGATTTTGTGTGGTTTGCGTTTGTGATGTTGTGTGGTTTGCGTTTGTGATGTTGTGTGGTTTGCAAGCTATTGCATGGTGTGGTTTGTGAGCTATTGCATAGGAGCAATGGTTTTCGCTACAGGATGTCATCATGATAAAAAAAGTTCCAAGAAAATACACCCTGTAGGGCTCGAACTTGCGTACCTAAGGTGTTAAACTTGAATTTTAACCACTGGCACCACAAAGCTCATTGTTTCTTTGGGTGCCATGGTTAATATTTAAACATTTCCTTATAAATATATATACACAAAATTTCAACTAAAATGTCCAGGTGCTGTGGCACCCCCTCGAGCCTACATAGATATTCCCCTGTTTGTCAAGCTGATATATTAATTGTTAAAGAAACTTAGCGACAAATATGTTAGTAATAGGAATACAAAATTTGAACTTAGTGAGAAAACGATCATTGAAACTGTAGAATACTGACCCCCCGATTTGCCTAAAGAACAGGTACATACTATCTGTTCCTTTACTGATTACAAAGCTCATTGTTTCTTTGATTCAGAGTTGGTCCTTCTAAGGATTCCTTTCCCTTTTAGGATTTCGTTTGCGGCTTTGCCTTGATATTTCTTTCCAGGTAGGAATCCTCTATGAAAGGAAACTTTATGCACTGGTTTCTTGTCGTAAAAGCAATCCATCCACCGTCTTATAACTTCTGCTTCGCGTGGTTGACATTCTCCTAATTCCAGTCGCACTCATCTGTTCCGCTATTTGTCAATCATCAAAATCTTTTTCGATCTAACAGAAACCCTGCTGGAAATTTAAACTGCATACATACATTTGAATAAAAAATTCAGGATGATACTTGAACTTGGATGGCATGATTTTGACTTCATATATTTTGTTTAATTGGAGTTTTTTAACTCCTCTGTTGATACACCTGTTGTTTAGGTTTGTAGTTATTTTTATTGTATTTGTGTCTTTTATTGCGCTTGGTGCGTAAAACCTAACAGACTTGTGCGATTTTCTCTGTGTTTTGCTTTTGAGTACATTGAGAGAAACTTGAGGCATACACTGTCATTTTGATGCGTATGACAGCATTCATGTCTTTACGCCAGCATCTTTACCCTGTGATGATACTTGGTGTTTTTTTTGTCACCTCAATTCCGCTTCTTTTATCCTTCACTAATGTGGAATCAGTTAAGAGGTCCACATCTGATGATATTGCTTTCTTTTTCCTGGCTGTTTTTTTATGTTTTTTCTTGAGCCGAGGGTCTGTCAGAAACAACTCTCTACCTCACAAGGTTAGTGGTAAGGGCTGCATACACACTACCCTCCCCAGACCCACTCGTAGGTACGTTGTTGTTGTTTCCCTGGTGCGCACCATTGAAGCCAGGGTGCTATTATTAGCTTGCCAATTTCAGAAATTTACTCCATTTTTTTTATCCCTTGATGTGGTGTCCTTAGGTATTGGCTGTTCTTTCTTTTGACATCAAGTTAATTTAGAGACTTAGATCATAATTTCCAGCTATACTTAGTTTTAAATCTAATATTGTACACGTTGTCCTGGGCACTTGCTGCCCAGTAACATTGGACAGGTTCTTAGTTGACAGGAAATCGTCTTATATCAGACCTAGTAATTAATCAAAATAATTTCCTGCGTGAGGTAGTCTTTTTGTAATATGGGTTGTGATTTTCCATATCTGCACCCTTATTAGGTTTGTTCTTACTGTATCCAGTTGTTGACAGTCATAAGGCAGGTTGCGTGCTGATCAAGTGATTAAACAGTATCTTCGTATTGCTAGCTTCTGGCTGAGATGACTCTATATTTAGATCATGTAAGATGAACGCCAAAGAGGGTGTGGCTCAGTTATGTTGATACTTTAGTTATCATACAATATTAGCCTTCTTGATGGAGCCAAGGGAGGCGGGTGAAAGAGTCTTCTGTCGAGATTCATTAGGTATTTATTTGGCTGTAAGGATGAATTAGGAGAGGTAGAACAGGGGGAAGTGATTAGAAAACAATTTCGTAAACATCATGTATTTTGGCTGATTTTTCAAAAATGAATTGGTTTATTCCTCCAAATAGGATATTACCCTTATCTTGTACTGTATTCCTAACCAAAAAATGTGGCAAATACATCAGATAGCTACTCAGAAATTACAAGAAGGAACCGTTAACTTTGGGTCGAAGCGAGAGGGGCACTGCATTTTAGAAGTTAAACTCTGGCTTCCACCTGTTTTTGGGTGGTTTGACTTGGTAAATTTTGCGACAATCAAAAATAGTCTCTCTATCCCCATAATGGTAGGGGTAAGATGTGTGTACATCCCTAATCCCTTCCCTTTCCAGATCTTATTTGTGGGATTATACAGGAGTGCGGAGCCAAAATGACAATTTTTTTCCTTCAAAAAACATAAACAACATATCAATTTTTTTTAACCAAAAGGGCAAAATCACTCGCGATATCCTACTGACAAAATTAACTCTGTTTAATTCGTTAAATAAAATCGCTGCCCCCAACAGCGATTTTGTCAATTTAAAAAAAAAAAAATAGCTGCAGCGATTTTGTTAAATTTTCCAAACCTCAAATCTCCATTTTTTTTTGTTGCTGTGGAAACTTTTATAAGCTCTACCCGGTGACAGTTCAGGCTTGACCTGGTAAATCTACTTGCAGGTTCGTCATTTTAATTAAATTCTGTTTTTCATGTGCATTTTTCAGCTTGAACTTGTCAATTTTGTTTGGTTGTATGATAATTCTCTCGGGAATGTGTTTTATCACCGTGATTATATGTGTTTTGGTGAAAGTTTCATTTTCCGGTGGCTTCTCTCCTTATTCCGTCACCAGATTTTATTTTTGAAATTTTTTTTTTGACAAATTTTAAGATTTTTTTTTTTTGAAAAAACGTTGTTGGGGCAGCAATTTTAATTTTTTTTAAAATAATTGATATGCATGCTTTTTGAAGAAAAAAATTTATCCTTTTGACTCTGGACTCCATGAACTACTCTCTTCGAACACACACAACAGGCATACTGTATACGTAAATTCTAATTGATCCCTTGAAACTTTTAAAAGACGTTTCAATAATAGAAACTAGAAACAAACTGAGGCGGAATCAAGCAGCCAGAAATAATTGTTTTTTTTGTGAGCAGAATTCTTGCAAAAACAAATTCACACATCACATGATAGGCTTGTCAATAAGATATAATTCTTGTCTCAAAAATAAAATTCTACCTCAACTGATACTTGGAAGAGGCGTTTACAACATCGACTCGGATAATCAGAATTTACAAAGTCAACAACAACATAGTAAGTATAATCGAATTCGGAATCAAAAGGATAATTTTTTTTACTTCAAAAAAACATAAATAGCATATCAATTCTTTTTTAACCAAAAGGGAAAAATCCTCCGAACAAAATTAAACGGAATATTAACACTGTTAAATAAAAAATTCTATTAGAATCGCTGCTAGATTTTTTATTTTTAAAAAAATTAAAATCGCTACCCAAAAAAAAAAATCTTAAAATTTGTCAATTATTTTTTTCAAAAAAAAAACCGGTGACGGAATAAGGAGAGAAGCCACCGGAAAATGAAACTTTTACCGAAACACATATAATCACGGTGATAAAACACATTCCTGAGAGAATTATCATACAACCAAACAAATTGACAAGTTAAAGCTGAAAAATGCACATGAAAAAACAGAATTCAATTAAAATGACGAACCTGCAAGTAGATTTACCAGGTCAACCATGAACTGTCACCTGGTGGAGCATACAAAAAATGGAGATTTGAGGTTTGGAGCGATTTTTTTTTTTTTTTTTTTTTTTAAAAAAACGCGGTTGGGAGCTGAAAAATGCACATGAAAAAACAGAATTCAATTAAAATGACGAACCTGCAAGTAGATTTACCAGGTCAACCATGAACTGTCACCTGGTGGAGCATACAAAAAATGGAGATTTGAGGTTTGGAGCGATTTTTTTTTTTTTTTTTTTTGACAAAATCGCTGTTGAGGCAGGCAGGCAGCGATTTTATTTAACGGAGCTGACGGAGTTAATTTTGTCAGTAGGATATCGCTCCCTCACGAGAGATTTTACCCTTTTGGTTAATTTTTTTTTGAAGGAAAAAAGTTGTCATTTTTGCATCGAATTCGCAGTTCATGCTTGATCTAGTTTTTTGGTTTTCCCTTGTGCTGGATATCGGGATTGGGGCATAATTAAATTTGGATTCGCGTTAGAAAGTTTCATTTTGAGGGTAAAATGCTCCCTAATAGATACAACTTTAAACTTGAGACTAGGGGTGTTCACGAGTCAATTATTGATCAAAACCAAAATCAAACCAATTTAATTGGTTTTAAAATAATCGAAATCAAACCAGACCAAATATAATATACATTTATCGATTTGGTTGTTATCGGTTTCGATTCGATTTCATTTTATTAAATCATAACTCTCAAATATTTGACTTGACCCAACAATCCCAACTAAATCAGCCTCATTCACCACTTCTACCACATTACCCAACAATCCCAACTAAATCAACCTCATTCACCATTTTTATCACATAGGCTCATACAAA